GGGCATTAGTTAACCCGAATGACATCACTAAAAACTCATAATGCCCATATCGAGTACGGAAAGCAGTCTTCGGAATATCCGAATCTTTCACTTTAAGTTGATAATAACCAGATCTTAAGTCTATCTTTGAAAAGATAGAAGCCCCTCGAAATTGGTCAAATAGATCGTCGATTCTGGGCAGAGGATATTTGTTTTTAACAGTAAGCTTGTTTAGTTTTCTATAATCAATACAGAGTCTCAATGTCCCATCTTTCTTCTTGACAAAGAGAACTGGAGCTCCCTACGGTGATACACTGGGTCGGATAAATCCCCTGTCCAACAACTCCTGGAGTTGGATTTTCAGTTCTTTAAGCTCCTTTGGGGCCATACGATAAGGAGCCATTGAAACCGGGGTGGAACCAGAATAGACTTCAATCACAAACTCGACTTCTCTATCTGGAGGTAATCCATGCAACTCCTCGGGAAAAACATCGGGAAATTCCTTGACAATTCGGATGCTTTCAATATCGGATTGCGATCTCCTAGTGTCCAAAATATAAGCAAGAAACGCCTCGGAACCCTTCCTGATCATCTTCTCCGCTACCAAGACAGACACAACATTCGTCAGAAATCCACGTCGTTCCCCAATCATTACAATCTTTCGATTATCTGGGGTCTTCAGAACAGCTCTCTTAGTCTCAAAATCAATATTTACTCGATGTTTGTCCAACCAATCTACGCCAAGAATCAAATCAAACTCTTCAAAGGGTAACTCCATCAGGTCAGCCAGAAAAATCTCCCCATTGATCTCTATAGGGCACTCTCTAAAAATATGATCCAACACGATGGATTGGCCTAAGGGACTTTGAACTATCACTGAACGCTCAGTATTCTCAATAGGAATATTTAGACCCTCAGAAACGGAATGTGATACATATGAATTTGTAGAGCCACTATCAAACAATGCAAAGTATGGAACTGAATGAATAGTAACAGTACCTGCAGTCACATTAGGCCCATCTCGATCTTGTCGAAGTCTAGCAGTGTAAACCAATACAGGTTGTCTGGCCTCAGATCTGATTGGACCCCTACTCTGAGATGCTCGACCTCTATTAGCCGATCCAGGTGCTCTCTCCTGAGTACGTCCCCGTGCTGGAGTCTGAACTGTACTATGAGAACTAGCGGGAGTACGAGCTGGTGTCTGAACAGAATGAGGTATCTCCGGACAATCCTTCAAATAATGGTCACCAGACCCACATTTATAACAAGTGCCCAATTTCTTCCTGCATTCTCCAAAGTGATTTTTCCCACAATAATCACATGTTGGAAAGGGTTGCGACCCAAAAGAACCACCATGTCTAGAAGACTGAACTGTTGAAGCACCAGATGCAACAGGTCTGACACTTGCACCGCCTCTCTGAAAAGAATCACCCCTGCCTCTCTTGCTAGGATGTGCAGAAGAATTAACAGAACCAGAAGGCCTCCTGAATCGATTCTGGGCTCGATCATTATCTCTCTTGTGCTCTATACCCAATCGCTCTATTTCCTCAACAGTCTTGGCTATCTCAACCAGGGCGTCAAAAATTCTCTCTCGGTGGGTAGCGACTCGACTCCTGATCTCATACCTGAGTCCATTTTCGAACCTCAAGCATCGATCTGTCTCAGTGCCCACAAGTCCAGGAGCATATCGGCTCAATCGGATGAATTCAACCTCATAATCCATAACAGACATATTACCCTGCTCCAGATTCTGAAACTCCTGGCGTCGCTCCTGCAGATATCTCTCTCCGATGTAGCGACTTCGGAAGCGCGTCTTGAAAAGATCCCATGTTAATTGGTTCCTCAGAATACTACCAGAAATGGATTGCCACCATCTGAAGCTTTCTTTCTTCAACATAGTTAGGGCCCCTTTTAACTTTTGCTCAGGTCTGAGGTCCATCTCATCCATAATCCTTTCTGTGTCCTCCAGCCAATACTCAGCGTCTGTCGGAGGTCCACCAGTAATACCCTCGAATGGTACTACACCAGCAGCAACCAGAGAATTTGAAATCTCCACTGCAGTCATGTTACTAGGGGCTCTAGCAGCTCTCTGAAACATGCGGAAGATAGCTCTATTAATGGCGTCTTCATTCATCTCAGAATCCTCATCTTCAGTGACGAGAGGGTCTCTCATAGGAGTAAACTGATCATCATGAGAAAGAGTCGGATCTACTTGCGGAACAGGAGGATCACGTGCTGACATCGGATCGTCTATCGTAACAGAAGGTCGAGTGACTCGTCCTCTACCACGTCCACGTCCTGTCCTACGACCTCTAGCAGTATTCATCGTTGGATCTATAAGGCTCTACAGAAGAATTTGAAACATATGTCAGATTAGCATCAGGGATCTCGATAAAACTTTAAATCATAACATAAGGTGACATTTTTTTTTATTTCTTAAAAATTCAAAGTTTAGGACCCATATACAGTCCGAGTGTTTAAAATCGAAAGCTCTGATACCACCAAATGTAACCCCCTAGACCCGGTCTGTGAGTTAGACCCAAACCTAAGTGGTCACATATCCCATTCAGAGGTTTTTTTTTATATATATAACTTATAGAACGTTAAATATAATATAAAACATAATATTAATAATACAGATATGTCCAAAACGATAATAAAATACATGTCACCAAACATAACCGAAAAACATACAAAAATATATGTTCGTACAAAATAAAATAGTTGATTTCTCCTGATGCCAAATCTGCTAGCTTACGGTCTGCTGTTATCTGAAAAAGGTTAAAATTTACAGAATGAGCTAAGAAGCCCAGTGTGTTCCATACAGCGTACAAAAACATATTAATAAGATATTATCAATAAAAATCGATTTATGCAACATGTTTTTTTTAAATATGAACACTACCCCCATTCGTCACGAACAAATTGTGTAGGTTCCCATAACCATACACCTCGTCACGACCAGTAAGGCCCTGAGCACAAAGCCGAGGAGCCTGCAATATTTTCTTCCTCCAACAATTCTTTTCCCCCCAATGACAGTAATAAACAAATATGTATTCGAGTAAAAATGGTGATTAATCCATTAAAACATGAAAATGGATCATGCTTGAAAATCATATACAGAAATACGGTAATCAGATGTCGGTAACCATTATTCAGAAATCAGATATCATGTATCATGTCATAACAATATTTTGAATAATCACCATTCTGAAATAATTCAAATAATATTTTAAAACAGTAAAACAACACTGTCAGGAAACACACCTGTCACAATCTGAGAAATCGGATAGGGAATCCTACTATTGGGTTTGTCGATCACTTTCTGCTGCAGCGATAGATCATACGAATTAGAAAAATCCATATTGGAACCCTAATATAAATAATCTAAATATTATTTAAATAATATACGGAAACCTACGGGTAATTCTCATAGTACGCGGTTCAGGCTGATCTAACGAACGGATAATACCGGACCTAATTGATCCTTGCTCAGGTGAAACACGAGTACCTTCATAAAATATTTTATTGAGTAAATCCTTGACCAAATCTCATTTAAATAATCAAAATATTAAAATATTAAGCCTTTTGGGTTTACAAGCTCGATTCGGGAATTTCGGGTCAGAATTTGGCAAAACGGACTTCGAAATAAAATTCAGGACGTCGAAAAATATAAAGTATGACCTTCCGAAATTTCGAATTCTTGGTCAAAATTAAAGTCAATGGGGTTGACTGACGATTTGGAGACTTTCGGGTTTGAATTTAGCAAAACGGACCCCAAAAACGGATTCGGAACGTCGAAAACTATCAGGATAGGTATTCTTGGTCGAAAACAAAGGTCGTTTAATAGTTGGTCAAAACCGGTCAAAGTTTTGGTCAAAGGAGGTCAACAAACTGTCAAACATTTTACACAAATAGCACCCTTTTAAAAAAAATTACCAAAATAGCACCCATTTCGAATTAATTCCAAAATAGCACCAAAACTGAATTAATTCCCATAATAGCACCGGTCAACGGGTCGGGTCGGGTCAACGGGTCGTGACCGGTCAAAACCGGTTTCCAGCGTTCACTCGCCTGCGGCGGCGCGTGCGACGTCCTCCGGGGCTCTAAAAATCACGGAAAAATTTCTAAAAATTATTTTGAGTGATTTCGAGATACTTACAAAGATCGGTTCAAATTTTTGAACGGCGGAGAGCTCGATTTCAACTCGGCCGAATCTTTGACTGATCCACCTCCCAACGCGCCGGCGTAAACGGAGATCGAGGATGACACCGGCGGACTCGGAACGGCACAAGGAACACGATGGTGTGGGAGGTGTCGTAAAAGGAGCAACGATCGGCGATGAATTTAGGATTTTCTAGGCGATTGAGCTTAAAAAAAAGTCGATGCTTTGACTTGAAATTCACGACGTTTGGCAGCGTTTCGCTTCAATTAAATTGAGGGGATTGTTCCTGACTCGATAACGAACACAATGGTACTTTCAAAACGACGATCGGAATTCGGACGGTGTCAGAATCGTCGTCGAAAGTTGAGGTTGGGAGAGGGAATTTGGGAGGAATTGGGTTCTGATTTTCAGAACCCAATTCACGCATATATCATATATATATATATATATATATATAAACCAAATACCTAATTTTTTTGGGGTAAATTCAGGGCTTGGTCCCTGAATTTTCTTTAACTCTAAAACAAGCTACAAGTTTTAAAAACTTCCAATTTAGTCCCCAAAATCCACCAATTTTTACAATTAAAACCTCAATTCCCAATTAAATATTATTTTGAAATTTTCGGGTTGTTACACATATGTCACTTAACGGGGAAAACTAATGTCGTTTATCGCTCGGACACCTATAAAGGTAACGTTAGACACTTGGATAAGCCAAAAAAATAATATAGGCACCTATTCGGCATAAAAAGTATAGTTTGGGGACTTATTTGGGCATTAATCCATAAATAAATAAAAGAAAAAATGAGTAATTTATTTATAGAGGGCTTTATTATTTCCTTAGATTGGAAATCTCTGCAACAATCTTAAGGACTTATAGCATTATTCAGGTATTCCCAAACTCCATAGCTTCGTTGGATTTTCTCTCTCGTAATCAAAAGTTTCGATGATGTTCTTGTTAATTGTGTATTTGTAGGGTTTAGCTTTACTTTCATGAATTGAATTTCAAAAGATAAGAAAAGAATCATGGCTAATTTATTCGAATTCAAGCTCTCCAATCTATTGTTGATATTCCGAAGTTGAAAATTAAATATATTTAAACAATCATAAAGAAACACATTTGACGGTGGATTTTGCAACGAATCTCTGAAAATTAGCAATTATTATATTTTTTTGAATGAATGGTACTTACTTTCTTATGGGCGAAAACTGTTGTATTTCTTGGATTTTTTTTAATAATCTGTGTAGAACAGGTATGATTGATTCAGCCAAGTGATATTTGCCATTGGTGATTGGACAGATAACTCTATGTACTAATCTAAATATATTTATATGCATGTGTGAGTGAACAGTTGTTTTACAACAGTGAATGTCATTCAAATCTGTAGAATTCAAATAATCTTCATCTGGCCTTATGAAGATAATGTTTTGTGTTCCATACATAATAAGAGATACCTGCACCTGTTTTATTTTGGTTGATGTTGTCATCGATTGTACGCTCCTTCCTTACCATCCCTTATAGATGGAAAGTATTTCTGATTTAAGATGGCTTTAGAGAAGCCTTCCTGCTTATAGATTACAACTCTTGGTTTATGGTAGGAATTTAGGGACAGGGATCAGAACTCTGAGTGTAGGATGCCAGAGAAAGGCTGAAATTTTCTGAGGCAGTGGAATGACAACAAATAAACTCATGGTTTTGCTCTTCTGCTGTGAATTGTACCTTGAGGCATCATAGTAGTAGTAGAGAGAACAGAACAAAGTAGAAATAAGAGAATGGAGTTTCCACGATTTTGCTAAGGTAAACTCAAGTCGACATAAAAGCCTTAATTATTTGTCTAGAAAAACAAAGATTACCAAAAGTCCCTTGGACACCAAAAGCTCTGGTTATTTTGATAAGTTCCTTTCCTAATACCTAGTTAGTTAACATCTTTACTTGGACCAAAATGATTTCTTCATTTATGTGCATCTAAGGATTGTGATATTATCCCTTTGTTTGCAAATAGGATGTACTTTATATAGCCAAGCCATTGATGTGCTAGAAGCTTCATTTTTATTTTGGATTGTTGGAATTGACAGCTTTGATCGAGAAGCTGCAGAAAAGGGGAAAAGGGGAAAAGGGGAAAAGGGAAAATTGTAAAATTGTTATTGGAATATTTAATGTGAAATTCAAGTTAGGGCTAGTTCCTCCTGAATCTTTTCGTTAGGCTTCTGAATCTTCCTGTGATGATTACTACCTTTTTTGCTGGATGCAATTCCCAGACTTCCCATGACTGGTATATGACTTCAATTTGTTCCAAAGGAACCTACCCCATATTCTGAGTTTAGCTTGTGGAATATAAATTTTGGAAGATAGCTGGATATAGTGATAGATAGAGAAAGCCTTATTTTGAATTGGACAAGAGGTTGACTACTTATACTTTTGAGCTACAGTTATATTGACATGGAAACAAACAAGTGATTCCTATTGCTGTTGGCCAGGCTTAGTACTTTAGTGTAGATAAGGATCCTTTTACTGTACGTTATGAGCTTTGATATTCTCTTTATGGCACTTTTTCTTATTTACACGATTGGTTGTTTGGTAAATGACTGCCGTGGATCAACTTTATATCTAATATTCTGGACATTGTGATGATATAATGCTCTTTCAACTTCAAATTTGCACGAGTGAAATGTAATGAACTAGGATCTTGCAAAGGAGGAATCACTTTGATGATAAGTCTAACTTTAATTGTTTACTGAAGTCTTATACTACATGTTCCATAATGTTTTGTCTTTTGAGTTTAGGCTCAATTGTTTTGCTTTATTTATTGCTCCTTGACTGTGTTGTGTTGCATGTATGAACAAAAGTCCCAAAGCATTGCATCAATATTTAATTGTTTTTCATGTCACATGATGCATGAGTAGTTTTCAAGTTTCTTTATGAAATCAAATCAAAGTGGGGACATGTCAGTGCTCTTAGAACTTATAGGTCATATTTTTTTCCTCAGGTCATACAGTAGCAACGGAAAATGGGAAGTAAAGGTCAAATTCCACCCCCTCATATGAGGCATCCTCTCCCTGGCCCTGGCATGGTACATTCTGACCCATTTGGTCTAGGAATTCCACCCCGTCCAGTTCCTTTTCCACATTTTGATATGTTGCCACCTCCAGAAATCATGGAACAAAAGCTTGCTGCACAGCATGTGGAGATGCAGAAACTTGGTACAGAAAACCAGAGAATCGCTGCTACCCATGGGACATTGAGACAGGAACTTGCTGCTGCACAGCATGAATTGCAGATTTTGCATGCTCAGATAGGAGCCGTAACATCTGAAAGAGAACAACAAATGAAGAGCCTTACGGATAAAATAGCTAAGATGGAAGCTGAATTGAAGGCAGCTGAGCCTGTTAAGACAGAGTTGCAGCAGGCACATTCTGAAGCTCAGAATTTGGTTTTAGCTAGGGAAGAACTTTTGTCCAAAGTGCATCAATTAAATCAAGAAGTTCAGAGAGCTCATGTAGATGTGCAACAGATACCAGCTTTGATGGCAGAACTTGAAAGCCTCAGACAGGAATATCTGCATTGCAGGTTTTTGTTGTGCTCTTATCTATAGGTGTTTTTGGAGCAAAGTTGAGAAAAATTAAAGTACAGCGACTGGTATTGAACAGAAAATTAATAATAAAACATTTTTGTATTGTTTGGAAGTCCGCTGTAGTTTTTTTTTTTTAATTTTTTTTGGAGCTAAGTTAAAGTTCTTTCAATCTTTTCTTTTTGGAGATGTTTAAGTTCCATGTGTCACAATTATGTGATAACCTATTCTTGATCATGCAGGGCTACATTTGACTATGAGAAGAAACTTTACAACGATCACCTTGAATCACTTCAGGTGATGGAGAAAAATTATATGACCATGACAAGGGAAGTGGAGAAGCTTAGAGCGGAGCTGACGAATGCTTCTAATGTTGAGAAAAGAATCGGTATCCTTTCTTCTGATATTTTCTTTTTGATATTTTTATCCCCCCCCCCCCCAACCCAAACAATTACCAATGTAGATGGCTCATATATGGAACCAAATGCAGTTGGGCAATATGGCAGTGCTGCAGGAAACAATGAGAATGATGCTTATGGACATCCTGTGGGACAAAATGCATATGAAGATGGTTATGGTATTGACCAGGTGTGTAATCTTCTTCCATGATGGCATAAATCTTTCTTTGCTGAAGTATGAATGGGTTATGAGTATGGGTTCAACTGCTAGTATAAATTTCATTAAATCAAAGTTCATACTTATTTATATAAACATGGATTAATTAGCATTTTTTAAAGTATGAAACAGTAACTGCACAAACAGCAGTAGAGTTCCTCTTACTATGCCTTTGTGGTTGCTAATTCCAATGCATCTTTGATTCAATGTATTGAGAATTATGTTTCTTCTGCTAATTCTTCCATCTTGTAGTTTAATGGCATTCTTCTCATTCTGCATTACAGAGACATGGCTCTCTACCACCTGCTGCTATGGGTGCAAATGTAGGTGCGAGTTATGTTTATGCTGGAAGTCAATCCGGGTCAGGACCTGCACCTACAAGGCCCGGGTACGAGATGTCTAGAGGACGTGCCAATGATTTTTCGAGAACGACTGATTATGAATCACAAAGGGTGCCAGTTTATGATGTACAGAAAGGACCTGGTTACGACGGTCAAAGAGCCCATGTCTATGATCAACAAAAAGAAGCTGGCTATGACACCCAAAGAAGCTCTGTAAATGATCCATCCAGTGGTGCAACCTATGATGCAGCAGCAAGAAGCTTTGCAGTGCCACGCGGTCAAGGAGCACCCCAGAATAACGGACCTTATGGATCTGCAACACCTCCTGGTCGAGCTGGAAACGCATACGGTGGAAATCCTGCTAGGAGGTGAGAATAATATCATTCAAATTTTTCACAGGGATGGTAGATGGCATGAATCTGATATCATTTTCTTTCTTCTTTAGCCATTATTATAATCATGTTTGTATGGAACAAAGTACGCAAGTGTCCACTGACCCTGTCTATTAAAGCTTAACCGAGTCTTGTAAGACAATGAACTAGTTTCATGCTTCTTTCGGCCTTATAAAGAATGATATTAGAAAAACGTTATTCGAATCCGGGGCACATAATGCAACTTGACAGCAAATAACTGCCCAAGCAGTTTAGTTGAGTTTTAGTTCAGACACGATTCATGCTCTTTTGCCTCCTATGTTTGTTGTGATAACTACCAAAAGAGCAGTTCAAATGTTGTTTTGTTTAAGTGACCACATCAAAACAAAGCATTTACAATAATCTTTTTTTATGGACAGCTTTTGGCGATGACATTTGTTTTGGGTACCTTTCGTGAGGATATGTATATAATTAAAGCACGATGTCCCATCATTGAAACATCATATTAATGTGGCCAAAATTGCCAAATCATGGCCTCATGTAATGCACATTTCCCCCCATCCTCCGAGTCATAATGTTGCATTGAAAAAGCAGTCTCCTAGGTCTCGTCATTTGTTCTTTGGATGCTGCCTTTTCATATTGTTCAAAATGTATATCTTAGCTTCTGACCCAACACTGACCCAGAAGGTTTGTGGAAAATTAGCATCATCCCATTACACGATGCAGAGCTTTTGCTTTTAACATTGTAACATCCTTCCATAGCCATTGAGGGTTTGTATTTCAAGCTCACCACCATTCTTCCTCCTGTTGATTAGAAAAACAGAAATCCATCAGAGGAGAGAAAGACCCAAAAGGAGTGGGAGGAATTTACCTCAAGAAAAATGAAAAGGAAGGGGAGAGTATGTGCAATTTGAGAGGTAAGAAGGCACACCACGCATTTCTTAACGTCTCCTTTCTTCTTTATATATCATGTGGAGAGTATTGCTGGCACTTAGGACAATGCCAACTGAAGATTCATGCCCACTGCCCTCACTGTCCTCTTCTCACAAAATTAATATGGCTCGTACCAACCTTGATATTTGTTGTGTGGGGCTTCAACTTTACTTATTGGGCTTTCAATTAGTGTGAATTTTGCAACCGTGAGTTAGAATTAGAGATTGCATCTGGTCGATTTAAGTCAAATTTTTGGTCAATTCAATCTGATCCAAAAAATGCATAACTTACATCCAAATTTGATCTAATTCAAAAGATATATATCCTACATCTAATTTGATTCGAAGAGTATATTTTCTCTATCCGAATCGGATTCAACCCAAAATTTTAAAGTATAAACTCGATTTGACCCAACATAAAATAAGAATCTAATTAAAATAACTATATATAGAGGGAGTATTATAGTAATTTTTTTATCAATTTATATGAGAAATTACACCATTACTTTTGGGTACATGTTTTTCGTCCTCCACTTAACCTGATTTCACCCTATATGAAATCTGACTCAAATTTTATTTGTTAAAACTATTTTATCAAGCCGAATGATATCAAAATCTATTGATTTAAGTTAAATTATCATCCTAATTAAAAATCAGCATAATTAGACCCCCAAAAAAACTCATGTCACTTGTAAGTGAATGAGATTGGGGCATGCCATATAAATGATAGGGAATTATACCATTAATCACTAACATTATTTATCATTCCGTTAATAATGATTGTTATATGAATTATAAAAGTCTAGTGTAATACTTTTAAAACAAGACTGTAAGATATTTGAGCGTTTTTAAATGATTGAAAATTTTATTAATATGGGTTAAGTATAAGATAATATCTATTTAAATATAACGCTCAGACATTTGACATTGAATGCTCTTCTGACATTCCTAGTGTTCGAATTCAAGACTTTCAAGAATAAAAAACAATTTTTTTTCTATTGAAGTTTCATAATTGTGAGATGATTTTAAATATGAATCTAATAATTTTACTAATTATGAACTAATTTAATATATTATATTAAAATTTAAAATTTTAAAATTAGAAGAAATAAATATAGAGGATAATCGATAAGAGTTATCAATATAAAATTTATAAAAGAATAATTGATAAGAAAACTTAAAAGCAAGAACCAAGTGGCTAACATGTGAAAACCGTGTTGATAGAGGGAGAAGACGAAGCATAGCAGAAATCAAGGAATAAGTGTCTACTCTCTTACCTCTTAAGCATTCACAATCAATGTTCCTTCCTTTGCCCTCTAATCGACTTTTATCAATTTATTTATTTATAAACAATTTTGGATAATTTCATAAGAAAATTTGGAATGTTAGACGATTAGGAATCATATCAAACCCTTGTTCATCGTCTTCACCTTAACTTGGGATACAAACCAACCTTGTTTGGATTTGATATTGTTCTTGAAAGACGTAGCCTGCAAGCCAAGTCCCTTAAACCCTCCAGCATTATATATATATATATATATATATATATATATATATATATATATATATATATATATAAAAGTTGAGTTTCCCTGTCGATCATTAGAGTTCGCCAAACAGAAAATTAGAGAGGGGTCAAACTACCCCCTATTCCCGCCCACTTTCCATCCAAATTTATGTTGAAAAAACTCACCAAGCCCTTTAAAAGGCCTCATAAACCCCCAACACCAGCACCAGCACCTCCTTCTCCTCCGCCGTTATCTCCGCCCATGGCTCCTCCTCATATTCCCCAAAAAATCCAACCTTTCCTCTTCCCCAGCGTCCAATCCTCCGTTCTCCCTGACCCTTCACGTTTCTTCTCCCCGAAGCTCCTCTCGTCCCCTCTCCCCACGAATTCCTTCTTCCAGAACTTCACTCTCAAAAATGGCGACCAACCCGAATACATCCACCCTTATCTCATCAAATCGGCCGACTCTTCCCTTTCCATCTCCTACTCATCTCAGTTCCACAACCCTTCTTTCATTTACAAAATTTTCGTCCCAGATCTTACCGTCTCTGCTGCTGATAAAACCGGCCCTGCCCATGTGATCTCAGTGTTACTTTGGATTTCCCCTATTCGAACCTCCGGTTCTTTCTCGTCCGAGGTAGTCCCTTTTTGACCTGCGCTGTAACGGGGAATACTCCTGTATCGATATCTACTGTTCATGCGGTACTCTCGTTTTCTTCGAACAGTTCGCTCACCAAGCACACCGTTCAGCTCAACAACGGTAAAACTTGGCTTATATATACTTCTTCGTCTCTCAGTTTGAATCATGATCTTTCTTCTATCGGTTCCGGTGGGTTTTCGGGTATAATTCGGATTACTGTGCTGCCCAGTTCTGATCCGATGTATGAATCCGTCCTTGACCAGTTCAGTTCCTGCTACCCGACCTCAGGTGACGCGGTTTTGAATAAACCGCTTTGTTTGGAATATAAATGGGAAAAGAAGGGATGGGGTGATTTGCTTATGCTTGCGCACTCGCTTCATCTTGATATTTTAGCCGGTGATTTTTGTGATGTTAAGGTTTTAGAGAATTTTAAGTATAAAAGTATTGATGGGGAGCTCGTTGGTGTTGTTGGTGATTAGTGGGTGTTGAAACCGCAACAGGTTTCGGTTACTTGGCTTTCGATTAAAGGGGTTGACGAATAATCGAATGCCGAGATTGTGACTGCTCTTGTGAAGGACGTTGAGGCGTTGGATACGTCAGCGATATCGACGACATCGTCTTATTTTTATGGGAAGTTGATTGCCAGAGCAGCGAGATTGGCGTTGATTGCTGAAGAAGTAAGCTATATTGATGTGATTCCTGCGATAAGGAAGTTCTTGAAGGATACAATTGAGCCATGGCTGGATGGAACTTTCAATGGGAATGGTTTCCTGTATGAATCGAAATGGGGTGGCATTGTGACTTAACAAGGCTCGGCTGATTCCGGGGCGGATTTCGGTTTCGGTGTTTACAACGATCACCATTATCACATCGGTTACTTCCTTTACGGAATAGCTGTCTTGGCCAAGATTGATCCGGCTTGGGGAAGGAGGTATAAGCCACAAGCTTACTCACTTGTGGCAGCTTTCATGAACCTAGGCAGGCGAGCGAATTCAAATTATCCTCGTTTGAGGTGTTTCGATTTGTACAAACTGCATTCATGGGCCGGAGGGTTGACTGAATTCGCGGATGGTAGGAACCAAGAAAGCACTAGTGAAGCAGTGAATGCATATTACTCTGATGCACTAATGGGGTTAGCCTACGGTGACAGCCATCTTGTTGCAACCGGATCGGCACTCATGGCATTCGAGATTCAAGCGGCGCAAACATGGTGGCATGTGAAGGAGGGAGATAATCTGTACGTAGACGAATTCAGAAGGGAGAACCGAGTCGTGGGAGTGTTATGGGCCAACAAGAGGGATAGTGCCCTTTGGTTTGCTCCACCTGACTGGAGAGAATGCCGGCTCGGGATCCAATTGCTACCCATATTGCCTATCAGCGAGGTGCTGTTCTCCGATATCGAGTTCACGAGAGAGCTTGTGAACTGGACCTTACCGGAACTGGGAAGGGATGGCGTGGGAGAGGGATGGAAAGGGTTTGTGTATGCGTTGGAAGCAATTTATGACAAAGAGAGTGCTGTGGAGAAGATAAAGAAGCTGAATGGTCATGATGATGGGAATTCACTCACTAATCTCCTGTGGTGGGTTCACAGCAGAGGCAACGAACACGAAATTGAACATGGTGCAGGGGGGAAATATTGCTGGTTTACCCCCTACTGTGGTTGATTTCATCTGTGTTATATATTTGATTTCATTTGAATAAACCAGCAAATGTTGCTTAATACTACGTAAGATGCTTGCACAAAATGATCTTCTCCCTATATACGAAAATACATAGAACTCTCCGATCAAGTTAATCAGCCAACACATATCTGTTCATCAAATGTGATTCAATATGTTTTAAAAGCATCAAATTAGTCGTTTCCAAATAATAGACATGGTTGACGTGTCCCTTATAAGACCAAAATAATGAAGTAATCACGATTAGCCATCTTCTCCTCTGCCAGACCTTTTCGGAAGGGTTGACAAATCGAGCAGAAACGCCTGACACATGTTCTTTTAATACGCTCGCATTATTCAGATATTGTACGTGTCCCAAGTTAAAGTAATCATTTTATTTTGCCCAACTCAGATCTCTATCCGTATAAAGCTCACAGGAAACTCAGTGTCCCTGTGAATTGAGATTTAATTTGTTTGACTTTACTGTCTGTTTAAAGCTGTGGGTAGCAGTTGAGATGTACATATAAAAACATATATCTGCAGCTACATATATTAAAAGAATATAGTTGAGATTTTTAGGCCAATTTTCGGGAAGCTTTTTGTTTTACCCATTGCTTCAAGTTTATCTTATGTAATTATTTTTTTAGGGTCGAGTCTTAAGTTATCACTTAATTTTAACTTTATTTTTGTTTTGATCACTAATACATTAACCTCTTGTTAATATTAATATCCGTTAAAATCAGAGAAAAAAACTGAAGAATTCATCTGATTTATTCAATTATAACAACATTTCATGTACAAATATATACAAGCTCATTATGATTACCTCTGCTAACTAAAGCTGTTAGTGACTAACTAAAAACTGTTACAACAATATTGAACAACTAATGCTAACCAACTCGTAACAATATCATATTGCACGTGTGATTTTAGTGATAAATTAAAATGTTAGAAGTATGAGCGTTCAATATCAAAGAATTAAGAATTATTTTTAAAGAGATAATACCTTATATATTATATCTCAGCGCTGAGAGGTTACAATTGAATTGGAAAATAAGTGCGTTTTGATTGTTTTTATTACTAGCTAGAGTTATATCGGAAATTTCTTTTTAACCTTTTTAGCGTCTCGCTTGCTTCCTTTTATCACACTTCGTTAATAGGCAACCGCACCGGTTTTAGGGCCGATAGTCAGCCGCCGTTTTTCTTTACTTTGTTTTTATAATTTAGTTTTTAATAACATATATTTATGACACATGTTTTTCTGTTTTTATAACATATTTTTTATGTATTTAGGTATGTTTTTGATTTTTTTATACGTGGTTTGACCATCCTTTTAATTTGATTTTTTTAGATGAGATTTGATATCGTCTCGATTGATCAAGAAGATGTTTATTTATTATCTTGTTGATATTTTTTGATTTGGACCCTAGGACTGGTTTTAAATACGCGGTTTGGGTAAGAAGATAGTTTCTCACGATGTTCAATTCTGATTTTTTTATTATCATTAGTCTTTCAATAGTTTCATCCACTGTTGTGGTTCGTTTATCGATACAGTCATCTATATTTGTATCAATCTTTTATTCGAGTTTTTAACTTTTTTTAATGTTATTCTTATATGATCTTAAGTGTCTAGTTTCTTATGTAATAGCTATAGACAAATATCCTAATTATGCATTTAATTCATGCTTATGGATATTTCCTATTTTAATAAGACTAACTACTTCTATTTGCATAAAAAAAAGTTGCAATTGAAATCTTATTTGTCTCCACTTTTGTGTTAAAACTCCATGCAAGGATGAACACATAATTTTCCAGTGTGAATTTCTAAAAGTTTAGGAAGTGACGAGCTTATAAAAGTTTAGTAGGATAAAAATATATTTTAAGTAGAAAATACATAAAAAAATTATCTAAAAGATCTAATAATTTTAAATTTTTAGGAGACAACTACGATAGCGTCGATCCATTCCTCTTGCACGTGAAGTAGCTCGGAAAATTGTGAAACCTGAAAGCCCAAATAAATATTTCATATACGTGTGTTGACGAACCGCGACATGATCAATAAATCCATTATTCTGACTGCACTTACTTACTACCCTCGTGACTGTAACTAATCTTCTCCACCTACCCCACAACACTTTCTCACTTTTCATATAAAATCCTCAGGGCCTTGTCAATAGCTTGAAGAACCAGAAAATGAAGATGGAAGTAGAGGTGGCAACACCGCCACAGTTGGTGCCCATTTCAGGGCAAGAGCAAAAGTGTGTCGGGAATGTATTTCGTTGTAGTTTTATTGCAGGAGAGAAGAAGCTCATATGTGTTACAAGTGGCAACTCTTACTTGGGTTCTTGCGTTGTCAAGGAGCTATTGTCTCATGGTTACCTTGTTCGAGTCACCATTCAACACCAAGTCAATTTTATTTAACCCTATTCTTCAATTTCAAATAAGACAAGGTTCGAGTGTGAATATGCTGTCAATTAACTAAAATATTTATTAACAGATACCATTAAAGTTGTTGACATTGAATTGCGGTTGTTTGAGCAATGGAATTGGAAGAACTGAAAGATGTGGTTGGGGAAGAAGAGTTGAACCTATTGGAGAGTGTGGTTATAACCAAGATGGGAGATTTACAAAGCCTTTGTGATGCTTTTAGAGGCTGCCATGCTGTCTTTCATACATCTTCCTTCATCGATCCGCATGGGATCTCTGGTTATTCAGTAAGTCCATCTTCCTTCAATTGAAAAAATTGAAAGTTCGGTGAGTGAAATAAAAGAGAGTAAAGTTCAGTGAATAAGCATATAATTTACCCTAATTAGTTTTAGAAAATCACAATTAAAAACATATTAAATTTGATTAACAATTAAAGAAAGCAAGCAAAATCATTTCGTCAATCTAATACTCTCACCTTTTTTGTCACCACCGATGCATGACCACCGTCAACGCTGCGAAACTGCAAGAGCTAGTAATATTTTTTTGAATGTTAGGGGCTTAAATTTCAGGTTCCCCGGCTACATCTTTGCAATCTTCGGTATCTACCAGCAACAGCAGTTCCGCCGGAAACCGGAAAGTATGGAGAGGCAAATGTCTTTTACCCGGGACATCGGCCATGCGGCCGCCGAGACTTATCTTATTACGCGGCTTACCTTCACTCTCCTCAGATATCTCGGGTATATAATATAATATAATATAATATAATATCAATTGCATTCTTTTTTGTTCGTTAAAAAAGTGTGATTTTATAGTTCAGTTTTCCGAGGAAGTGGCACTTTTATGAGAATCGAGTTTCTTTTTTCAGTTTAATATTTGCGAATATAGGCTGTCTTTACGTAGACAGTTGAAGGAAAGAAGAGAACCAAATTGAAATAACATAATTTTTCTGAATGGATGATTGGGAGTTTTGAGAAAGTAGGTTGAGTTCCAACGAAGGATCTACGTGTCTATTAGGTTGGACAAATTTCACCCGCTTTATGATTTAATGGAAATGTTGTTACCATTCTGAACCTTGTTCTACCATATTTGAGCTTGGTCGTTCTCAAATTTCCTTGCTGCGTGTGTTGTTGATAATCTTTTTGGTACATTTTACCATGTTACTTGACTCCGGTGTGAATTGTATATAAATATGTGGATCCTGACATAAGCATGTTTAATTTTTGTCAAGTTTTTTCATGCATGTTGAGGGTCCTTAGAGGGTCATATCAAACATATGAGTTGAACACAGATATTAGCCTCGGATACTTCAAGAAATATGAGGAGTTTGAGCAAGGTATATTTTTAGAGAGAGAATTAATTAACAACAAAAATGGTTCACTTTTTATCTTTTTCATATATATATTGGATTTTCAGAGAGAGAAGCAGTGGACAACAAAAATAATTCAACACGCATATATGTATATATGTTATTGTCCATAAATTTATTTTGTATTGCTTTCAATTTTATTAATATATATTGATTTAATCATACATTTGCATTCAGGGTAGGCTACCGGTGGTATACAAGATTAGTTGCTCTTGCTTGTTATGCTTTGCTTCTTATGCCTGGTTTTCTTCAAGGTATTTTCTATATTATTGGTTGATTAAATTTTCTGCACAAACTTGCAAACTTGTTATTAAGAATCGTTTACTTCTCTTTTTACATGAAAATAGTAGGTTATGGTTAAAGTTAAAGTTGAACAAATGGTTGCCTCTTGTAAATCTTCTAAGAAGCAAAAAAAGGTAAATATAAGAATGAGGAAAAGGGAAATGGAAATCAAGGTGTTAGAAACTTGGTATATTTCACATAGATTTATTATTCTTTTTTAATCCTGTGGCATGTCTCATATATATATATATATATATATAAACTTGTTATAATTTCTATAGTTTTCATGTGTGTGTGACCAACACGATCTTTTGTAAAAATTAATTGAATAATTGACTGATATTTCTTTCACAGTGGGTTCATTTTAGAATATTCATTAACAATATATGATTCTAGAGCTTTTTGAATGTTTTGTGACCAAGTGACATCATTGGCTCAGCTGTAACTCTACCCCTATGTGTTTTGGTTCTCCCTCTAATTCAATTCATGGTGACAAGTATCAGTGTGTGATGGGAGTTTCTATCAAGGTTGTGAAAATTGTGATCACACAGCTGTTTGCATGGGAATAAACGACGACGACACAATGTTTGCCTTCATGCTTTGGCAGTTTAGAGATGGTTATATTGTTAAGATTGTAATCATACAGCTGTTTGCATGAGAATAAATTATAGATCTTTCCTATGTCGTTTGCTATGCCAGAAATAGGTATATTTGTAGGTTGCTTTCAAATATCTTCAGATTGATGGAAAATAATTACTTAAGCATTACTTGTTAATCTTCTACAGTTGCATATTATTATTTTTTCTCAAGTCAAGTGCGACGGAGTATTATTTATGGAAATCAACCAAGGAATAGGTATGTGGACATGTGACACAAGTACTTATGGAGTCAGGCCAACAACCATGTATGTTGTTGGTAGAATGTTGGTTGCTTCATTCTAGTGACCAAGGAATCAAACTTGGCACATCAAATGACAAGTAGTTATATTCTATGGCTTGCTTTTCACAGGTTATAGATTAACATTGCTCTTTTCTCTCCTTTGACGATGATTTGACAGATTGGATTTATACTTGCCAGCAAACAGTAATGGCCCAAAGCCAGTTGTGGTATTTGTGACTGGTGGAGCCTGGATAATTGGGTGAGTGACATGACATGAAATTTATTCATGGTGTATCTGTCACATTTTAATGTATGAATGTGGATTAAAATTTAAATATGAAATACATAATATAGCCTTAAAGTTCCTTAATATTTCATTAGGGGGTTCTGCATCAGATTGTCTATTCTTGTAGTGGTCTGTGCTTAGGAATTAGCTAATCATAGATTGAAATATTTTATACGAGCCTATGAGGTCTCTATAAACCTAAAGAAAGTTTAAGGCTAAAAGTGCTCATTCACTTTCAGTGGATTTGAATGATCAGTGTATCAACCACTTCCATATCTAGCTGAGCATTAAATATTTACTGTAAGTATATAACATCATTCATTTTTTCTGTTGATTTAGGTATAAGGCATGGGGTTCACTTCTAGGACTGCAATTGGTGGAAAGAGATGTCATTGTAGCTTGTATTGATTACAGGTATTAGTTTGGTTGATGCCATGACATGGTGTTCAGTTCACTTTTGCCAACAATGCATCCTACGTGTGAAATATTTTAAGGGTCAAATTAAGTACTTGTAACTTCATGAATGAAATACCATACCTCTTGAATGTTTTTGCCTCTATGTTCCATACAATTTATGAGGCCTGTTTCTTTTCTTCTACCGATAACTGTCTTTTCTCGATATTTGTATGCAGGAACTTCCCCCAGGGAACCATTAGTGACATGGTGAAAGATGTATCTCAAGGGGTCTCATTTGTCTGCAATCTCATTGGCAGATATGGAGGTGATCCTAATAGGTGACTGACTGGCTGACTGCTTTCTTTGACTTTGAATGCCTCTCATGCATCCATTTATCTGAATATGCACTGTTGTGGTTATTTTGAATAGAATCTATTTAATGGGGCAGTCAGCGGGGGCACATATTTCTGCTTGTGTTCTTTTGGAGCAGGCAATAAAAGAATCTAGAGGAGAAAGCACCACCTGGAGTGTCTCCCAAATCAAATCTTATTTTGGTTTATCTGGAGGGTAAACTTTTATCTGTTCTTCATTATGAGACTTGCATAAGATATGCTGAATGTGCAGACAGCTGTACTTTCCATTGTTTTGGGCTTAACTAGTACATTTAAGCATCAAGATTAATGCTCCACAAGGATTTTTATACAAGACTAACAAGTTCACATTGCTATATGAATTTTAGACTTTTTTAATACGTTTTGTAAACATTCATATCCTAATAATGAAGAAGCAACATGTTACTTTTTCCATTGCTTATGTAGGGTGCATGACTGTCACATTGAAATTCCGATAGAACATTAATGCTTCAGATAAAATCCAGCTGAAAGACATTTAGCTATATTTTTTCGTGAAAAGTGTTGTCAGTTTGTTTGAAATTTATTATCTTGAATCACAGCTTTTGTTTTGTTTTGTTGGTTGGTTTTAAGTTCATGATGTGCAAATAATTCTCTCAGTTTCCATGTGTTTTTTCGTTGTAGAACTTTATCTTTTGGGTCATAGTTTTCACTCTTTCTGATTTTCCTAGAGGTTGTTTTGCAAGAAAGTATTGCTGCAGTGGGAACAACTCTGTAAAATGCAGTTTGTTTTGTTTGCATCATGCTTCTCCTTTTTTACCTCCTTTTTTCCCCTTCTAAATTTTATTTCCCTCGCCAGTTTTCTTTTGTTATGTTATTTTATGAAGACATTCTATGGTGCACCTGAAAGAATTTTACCTTAGTTACTACACTGTACTTCTGCCTTCAAAATGAGAGAAACATCAATCAAAGTTAGTTAACTAGAATTTAGCAGTGATGCTTCATTTGGTTGTCAATTTACAAAAATAGGGTGTAAATATTTTATTTGACACTTTGCTGTGAGCATTTGCTACGGAAGAACTAGCCACTGAAAACCTATCAATCTTCTCTTTTTGGTTGGTGGAAATATTTCCTAAACTGATTCTAGAACATTAAGGCTTTCTTGAAATGTGAAGATATACATATGAGCAAGCCGCTTAAAGTGATATGCATCTCTTTATATGTTTCGTATGGGCTTGTTCTCCAGTTAAATTGTATAAACAGATTTGACAGTTGTAACCAAATACGTGCTTATTTCTTTTTAAATTGTGATTAGGTACAATTTATTTAATTTGGTTGATCATTTCCACAATCGAGGCCTTTATCGTTCCATCTTTTTAAGGTATTTTACCGATTATATTTTGCTACTAACCATCTGTATATGCTTTTCATTTTCCTTTTTATTATCCCGTGTATCATTTATAAACCGAATGAAGTTCCATTTCAATGTTACAGCACCATGGAAGGGGAAGAATCCTTTGAACAATTTTCTCCTGAAGTAAGAATAAAAAATCCAGGCAATAGAGAAGCTGCCTCTCTTCTTCCCCACGTTAAACTTTTCCATGGAACTTCAGATTTATCAATCCCATCAGATGCCAGGTTAGAACACCTGTTGGCCTAAATGTCAACCGTTTAATGTCTTTGTTTCCTTTCAAACTGCACAAACCAAACGACCTAAGTGGTTTAGGGATTTGTTGTTATCCCTTGAGATCCCGGGTTTGAGCACCGCAAATGCAGGGGTATAAGCATTCATTGTCAAAACAATATATTACTTTGAATTCACCCCAGATATATATAAAAGAAGTCACATTGCTATATTTTTATTCTGGAATCCTAAAATGTATTAAGTAATAATGATTGCAATTGGAATAATTTGAGTACATTGTTCTCAGTAATGATGTATGGTGATGTGGAGACGTACCTCTGCAGTGGATTTGCTGCAATTTTTCACAGAAAAGAAGTCACATTGCTATATTTTTATTCTGGAATCCTAAAATGTATTAAGTAATAATGATTGCAATTGGAATAATTTGAGTACATTGTTCTCAGTAATGATGTATGGTGATGTGGAGACGTACCTCTGCAGTGGATTTGCTGCAATTTTTCACAGAAACTGCTATTCTTGATACTGATTTTTTTGGTGCAGTATAAACCTTGTAGAAGCTCTTAAAGGGGCAGGGGCCGAGGCAGAAGTGATTTTATATGATGGAAAATCCCATACAGATCTGTTTTTACAGGTTAGTGGTTATTTCTGATGCAGATCTGTTTTTACAGGTTAGTGGTTATTACTAACTTTTTTAAATGTCATTATGGGTTTAATATACTTGTTTCGCTGCAGTCTGGTCATCCTAAAATTTTCACATTTCATATTCATTTATATGTCTGCTTGGGATCCTTTTAATCTACGTATAAACTGGGATGACGATGTCAAACGTGCGTTTAGTTTAACAGGGAAACGAATCATCTCCCAGAGATCTTTGTGAATTTAGCTCGAACTGCTTCAAGCTTTGCCGTGAAATAGTAAAGTCAATAGTAGTTATCCTAATAGTATTAGCCACTAGCTTATTGTTTCTGCACTTGAAGGTTTCTTCCAGTTCCTTAGGAAATTAAACTTGTGAAAAAATCGATATGGCATCGACAAACTCTTATTTCCACCCCTAAAATTGAGTACAGGATCCGTTAAGAGGTGGAAAGGATGATCTATTTGATCATATGGTTTCAGTCATACATGCCAGTGATGAGGAAGCTCTTGCCAAGGATGCCTTGGCGCCTCCGAGAAAACGCCTTGTACCCGAGATTTTGTTAAGGTTGGCTCATCATATCAGCCCATTCTAATATTTCTACGTTTCTCAATGTTTGATCAGGCACAACCTTGTTATGCTATTTTTTTTTTATAATAATGCCTTGTGATATCTCCAATTCTTTCTCCATTGGTATTCATTGTAGCACCCCTTGGGTTCTTGATTCTTGTAGGAGCAATATTGTATCAGCCTGCCATGAAAAAGGGCAGCGTTTGGTGTCATTCTAATACATTATTCATGTATTATGGTTTAATCCTCATTTTATTGTACAATTTTAAAACAATACGAATAAATAATATTTTAATTTTAGAACATAAATCGTAAATAATGTCAAGTGTATGATACCTATATTATTTTTGTTAGAATAAAATAAAAGTTTAAGTCGTTTTGGCGTGATAGTCATGTCAACAATCATTAGTCATATTACTGTAATGTCAATCCAATGATATAATTGAAATAAAAATCAAAATTCAGTGGTATAATTAATAATTTTGGAAGGTGTAAACGATATTATGCTTAAGTTTAATGGATGTATAGTGTAGTTTATCTTTTTAATTAAAATATTCTATTGTAATTTATTAATATAAAAGTATATACGCACGTATTCTACCAATAAAGAACTTATAAAATCATTCTTTTGTCAATATTTTTTTATTAATATGAGATAAGTACAAGACAGTATATGTTTAACGATAAGTCTCAATCTTTGAACATTGAACACTCACACCCCTGACATATATGGTGCTCAAACTCGGATCTTCAAGGAACAATAACATTTCCTTTACCACGTATGTCACTTAGTTCGTGCTTATTTAACAATATTAACTATTAAAGTCCCGGTCTTTTTCTTGACTATTTACAAATCAATCAGTATTATATAACTTTGAATTAAAATTATGAATTTGGAAATAGAAATAGAAGGACAATCCAAAGGTTGAAAAAATTGATGTCAAAATTAGATTGTCGGTTCCTTGTAGATACCTGAAAAAAGAGTTGCAATGTGAAAAATGTATGGCATTTTCTGATATTAAACTCAGGACCGCCTAACAGCTTTCCTTTTTGAATGATCAAATGAGAAAAGGAAACAATGACTAACACAAGTTTGATGGCAGTGTTTGAATGAATGAAATGCCAATTTATTTGACATTTAATACGTAAGAGAGTAGACAACGACCAAAACCACCCAACTCTCCGATGGTTGCATATTCACCAAGCGTCGGCTGCTCCTGCCCTGCTGCAGTTCGCCGCCGCCGCATGGTTTTTGGTTCTAAGGGCAGTTTCCTCCACATCATGGTTTCTGCCACATACCACTACACGCCTTCGAAGAAACCCTCTCCACTTGGTACTGCTGCTCTTTTTGTTGGGGTGGTTATCATTAACATCTGCATCGATCTTCAATAGCTCATGGTAAAATTTGATCCCACTCAACTCGATAAGCTGATCGAGTCTCTTCGAAATGATTTCGATCTCGTATGGATCGAGGAGAGAAGTATGTATGGGGACCGAATCCGATCCCTTCATCTCCACGCTGTTGTTATTGTTGTTTCTCATGGCTTCCAACTTGTAGCGCGAAGGCCCCGGAGCTCGTTCCGATCGTTTTGCATCGGATACTGGGATCGGCATGGGCTTGGCTTCGGAGCTTGAGCCGCGCTGGTGCCATGCCCATGCAGCTGCTTTCACAAGGTCCAAATCGTCGTTGGAGCAAGCTTTGGCCATGATGTGGTTTTTGTGATTTGATAGTGTTCCTGTTTTTGGTTTAAGGAAACAGAAGGGGTTGGGATTGCTTCGTTGTTAGAATTGAATTTGGGGGGGGGGGGGGGCATTAAATGAGAAATGGAAAGGAAGGGGTTGAAAGGTAAGGGTAGTAGTCCATGTATGTCCTTGGAACTAATTTTCACGGTCATAAATGGGACGTTGAGACGATGACATTTGCTTTTCAATTTGGAACCAGACATTGTCTCTTGTTAGTTATGTATGCGTATGGTCACTTGTTCCTCCCCCCCCCCCCCCCGTAGATGCATACCCCTTCCACATTTCCCATTATTATTATCAGTAGGGATTGTACGAACAACAACTACTTCAATTATATTTTTCAAGTTAAATATCTAAATTACTTATTATACTTAAAACTATTATTTATAATCAGTTTAAGTCCCATTTACTCTTTTAACTGTGTCCCTGGAATCTCTTCCAACTATTCTTCATATCCCGCTCGAAACTTGGCCTCGCGTATGCACTGCAATGCAAAGAAATGAAAAGACAAGAAATTCCGATATCCCACCTCTGCATATCTCTGAGGGTGGCCTGCCTTAGCTTTTACGCCTCCTCGGCCGAGAAATATCATGCTCGACTCGCCTGACTTCATCTTTCAGCTCCTGCAATGTTGTTTCTCTGTATTGCGTTGCGCCTTCAGCTTCTAACAAACTTGACAGGTGCTTCACTTAAGAGAGATACTCGGTCTTTGCTTCCACGGAATCAGTGATTAACTTTCCGGTTACCAACTGCATTGAGCAGATTAAAAACAATTGACGTTCTTGCAACAACAATGTGATTCCCGATTTAAGCTTTCTATTCCAACGAGTTCATCAAGATTTTAATCCAAACATGTACCTCTTTGTGGGCAGAAATGCATTCAAAATTTGCATTTTTGGCTTCAATAGTAGATGACTTTTCCTGTATCCCAATGGAATCATAGTTAATTATTAGTACAATGTTTAAAGGGCAGTTTGATATGCATAAAGCCTAAACCACCTATTATGTCACACCATCAAGAGCCAAATGAGCAGAACATTATCTCGGAGCGTGTTTCTATCATCAAACAAGATTACTTTAGGTGAAGAAAAACACATTTGATGTACATTATTGAACTTGAAAAAGAAAAAAAATACCAAAAGATCGTAGGACAAGCATGATGGTATTTGTTTTCAACTGAGAATATCATATGTAAGGCCCAAACTATAAGTGAGACTTGGGAATTTTAGTAACTAAAAGGGTTTAGAAGAAGGGTTATTATCAATTTATCATTAGTAAGGCCTGGGGCCATGCAAATTGAACAGACACCAATTAGAAAACTATCTTCTGATATTAATGTGATACCTACACATTTGAACCAGAACCACAACAATCAAGGTTTCTATTTGGCACCCAAAGCTGAAAACTAAGCAGTTAGGTTCTCAAACTTCGCTTCTTTTTATTAAAATCAATTTTCACATGAGACTAAGCACAGGAGAGAAAGAGAGAGAATGGTGGGGAAAGGGGATCACCGGTTCATTAGTTTCTAGGACAAGGCAAGAAATTAAAATAAACTTTGTTAATGGTAGCCCATAACAAAAATATGAATGCAATGGTCAATAAAACATTCCTTCTTTTATCAGGTCTTGGTAATGAAGCAGAAATAAATATAAGAGCAGAAGAATAAACAAAAGACAATGGTTGGGAAATATAGTCGTCTCATTCTGGCCATTATCAATCTAAGGATCCAAGCTCATGAAACAATATCATTTTATTATCATATTCCCTTCATCCTCATTTTTCGAGTAGAATCTTAAAACATCTATATAAAAGAAGCTGACACATAATCTAGTATTCACAAGGAACTAACCAGTATGTTCAATGCTACATGGCCTTCATGCCCAGTTTCTCCAGAAACTCCATAACCTTGCTTCTTGCTTTGTGTTTTCAATTTGTCAACAACTTGCCATGCTATCCTATCACGTAAAGAGAAATGACTAAGACATATTTGTACAGATCTATGATAAATTGCAATTTAACCTATGTCCATCATCATCAACTAAATTGAAGGGTGAAAAGTGGAAAAAGATAGGTCGTAGGCCCCCCTTTTTCTTTTGCTGGTAATTAACACGAGGAAAAAATGCAGGCCTAATTGACTAAAATTCAATTTTAGTTTGGTGAATGATTTGATCCATGCAGTTCCAAGTGTCACCATACCAAGTTGTCAATTACTAAAATCATTTTGTGCTTAAATTTGTCAAGTAGTTTTCTCACAGAAGAGTCGAGCATCGGGATATTCAATGGTCTAATTTGCAAACTGGGTGCCTCTACCTAGAAGAAAGAATATCTTTAAAGAAACTAGTGGTAGCAAAGGACATGTATGCCTTTGAGTCAGCACATTAAAAGGCCACCTCTACACTGGTCAGCAACAGGACTTATACAGCATTTAAGAATATATACTTTGTAAAGTGAAGACTGTAGTTTATTGCTACACACTGCATGCAAGAGTTCAATTAGGAACCTAGATGTAATGAAACAGCACCAACCTTATTGCATTGTTTAAAAGACCTTTTGCCTTGTCAAGCTCAGCAATTGCATCAGAAATATTTGTCTTCCTATGTTGAATGGAATTAAGCATTGCAACCCTAGCAATGCGAAGCATATTGGCTCCAATCTGTCCACGGAGAAAAGAAAGGTGATCCCTTCTTGGTAGTCCTTTTCTACTCATCTTTTTTCAATTATTGTATAGAAAAGTTTATGTCAAACTGGAAAATGGCATAAAAATAGAGAAGAAATCAAATATTTTAGATTTGTTTTTGGCAATGTTTGTACTCAATTCAACATACAAATTCAAAAGAGATTATCGAATGAATAAAGTTAGTGAATATATGAAACATTGAAACTTCTTTCATAAACATAAATAAGCGTGAGAGACTTCCAATTCATTAATATATGAAACATTGGAACATTCATAAACATGAAGGAGCATAGAGAGCAGTGCATCAAAAGTAAAAGTGGAAGAAGCAATCATGAATTATACGCAGTACATTGAGTCAATGATAACCATTTAACTATTATTTTTTTTTTCAAATTCATCCACCTCCTTGATGTTATTAAAAGTAAAATAATGTGAAACAAAAAATAAAAAAAGGCAAACTCGCATGACATACAGACAACAAACGTGTTGACTTAAAAGGAAACCATTGTAACAAATTAAATTAGGGTCAATTACACGTTTGACAACTGAATTTTACCATCTCTCATATTTCAATCATTTTACTTTCAATGTTTTCAAATTAATCATTAGACATTATACATTAAAGTTTTTAAACCCTCGATCCTTTTCTCATTAACAATTTGATTATGCAGCGTATTTTAATATTATAAGCTGGCACGATATATACAATTTAATAATATAAAATAAGAAATGACATGACATTTTATTTGAGGAGTTCGGTTTGAAAAATGAAACAGATAATGAAACTATGGATAAAACAATTTCTCCGCCATTAACATGAACAACTTAGATGATGATTGATTCTTTGTTTTGAGTATTCAAGAAGTATACTGTGTAAGATGTGTAGAGAATGAAAATAAAAAAGATGGAAGAAATGACACTTCGAGGAAGTCCAGGAAACGATGAATTGTTTTTTCAAGTTTTAATTCCCTGAGTAGTTGTCTTCAACCTTTGAATTGTCTTTCATGGTCATTGAGGGTTTAAAAAAAGTTGAATTTCACGGTTTTGATGGTAATGAAAAATTTAACTGGATTTCAAGCTCTAACTCTTTTAACTCTGATAAATCAAATAAGCCTTCTCTCTATAGAAAAGTTGGGACAAAATCTGTCTAGATCAGTTTGGATCTTAGAAATGAGTCTGACAACAAATAGAAGAAATATGTTGATCTTACACATTCCTCGCTCAATCCTATTGGGGCTTCCTGAACGTTTGTACCTTGCAGATAACTTTATTCGGTAAATCTTGTGCACTATTGTTCGTTTATACTTGAACTGTTAGAACAATGATGGTGTCGGACGGTGGTTATAACGACGATCGACGTGATGATCGAGATCTGGGTTCTTTCATGTTGAGAACTGAAAATAGAGAGAAGTGAAATTAGAAGGAAGAAGAAAAAAAGAGAGGAGAAAATGAAAAAATAAAAGAAATATAATTTTTTATTTAAATAAAACAACTTCATTTTAATCTAAATTTATCTTTTTAAATATCCAAAATTAAATCGTCTTAGTATAAGTTATCATGTCATAACATCGTTAAATAATTAACGGCGGAATGACAAAAAATCCAATATATAAAATTTATTAATTAAATTAAAAAAATAAACGTAAAGTCAAATCTCTGTTAGTGCTTGAAAATTCAATGAGATGAAATTTTGCTACTGGTTTCTTCCTTCTTACATCAGACTTTTGGATGCTTACACTAAAACTTAATGCTCCTTACATGCATTTTTCTTCTTTATAAATTGGATAAAGTAACACATACCTCCCTGCCAAGTATCTTGCCCTAATAAGCCTTTCCTTTGGTTAGATTTTACTAATTGACTTGGAAAACTTAAAATCATGATTTTTTTGCATATTTTTTCATAGCTGAGTTGCATATTGTGATATGAGTTTCAAATTGCTTTTGTGCCTTTTGGACTTTATAATTTTCTATGTATGGCCTTCTAACTTCTTTATGCGCCTCTTCTACACCGAGCTGGTCTTCTTTCTTGCAGCTTAAATTGATATCTAGTTATGATAAATAAGTGACATTTACTTTGATTGAATATCCTGGATTGCTTCTCTTACCTCTTGTCCGAGAGCGCCCTTAATTTACATTCTTTATAAACTGTTCTTTTACCAATTCTTCTGCAGGTTGGGACCATTACATTTCTTACCTTAATAGGATTGCTTGTTTTTATGCTTTTCTTTCTAGCTGCAACTGTCAATACTATCATCATCTCTTTCCTCATCGCTCTGTCTGCTGCAGGAGGCTTCTTGGTTATTTTCTTTGCCTGTGTAACGGTTATTTACATTGGGGCCTTGTCAGTTGCTGCTTTTGTTATTTCTACTGCAACAATTTCAGCAATTATAGCTGCTCTTGTAGCTACAGGTATATCTTTCTCAGAATCTATTTTTAGTTTTTACTTTGTTTCATTCTTATAAATTTTGCCGGAACCTACGTCCCTAAATGAATTTCAGTCCTATAGAGTTGCCGAGGGTTATTTTAGATGATAACCCAAATGAAATTTCAACATTTATGCATACAGCATGTTTGGGTAAATCATTGCCATTATTTTCTACCCAACGTGTGGG